AGAGAGAGAGAGAGAGAGAGAGAGAGAGAGAGAGAGAGAGAGAGAGAGAGATTTGCCTAAGGATGGGTGCAATAAGTGAAGGACCTGTTTTTCCTCAGCACCAGACACTGGAGGACAGGATGTGGTTTCTTGGCTGCTCCTGGCCAGCCCTATGCTGGGTCCACGTCTGGAAGGAAGCCCAGCCAGGGACAAAGTCCACCCAGGCCAAGCCGGAGCCTTAGCCTGCACTGCCCTTTGCTGGAGTGCGGAGGCCGGGGGCTTCCAACAGTCCTGCTCCAGGCTCAGTTCCGCAGCCTGGGGACACACCAGGTTCCAAAGGACAGTTCTCCCAGAGGTCTCAAGCTGTCGTTTGAGGAACCAACGAATGCTTTATTCCCCTCAGTGTCCCTTCATCCCCCCATGACAGATCCTGCAATCCCCGTTTTACTGCTAAGAAAACTGGGGTTCGAGATCATGAAGGGTCCTGCTGAAGGCTAAGATCAGAGCTGACATCAGAACCCATTTCCATCTGGAACTTCAAGTGTCAAAGGTCTGCCTATCTTCCCAGCAGCCCAGCTCCCCCATGGAGGGTCCATGGTAGAAATGAACAGGAAAGAGGAGTGGTCCTTCCCAGAAACCATGATGGAGTAGCCTAGTTCACAATTTGCAGAGGTCAGTTCAGCGATTCCTCATCTTGTAAGGAAGTAACTTCTGGCCTCGCCAGACCCGCTCCCTCAGCCTTCGTGGCCCCCAGGAGGAAGGTGTGAGCCAAGAGCTGGGGCCTACGCTCTTTTACACCCTGTTCCTAAGCTGCTGGACCACATCGCCTAAGGAACCCCGTTTCTCAGCACTCACCTCGCCGTGAGTGACACGAAGGGAGACATTCTAATTTTGCTGACCTCACAGACAGAAAGCAAACCACAAAATTTAGTTTCGAGTCTTCTGTGTGTTCATGAGGTCGTGTCGTAATTATTGCGATCTAACCTCAAAGCTGCCTGTCACACGGCTCTCTGCAGCAGACGGGGATGTCAGTACCCCCATAGCAAGGGCATCCCATCAAAAACTCGGGTGTCTCTTCACTGCCTGCATTTCTGCCACCCAGGTGCTGTTATGGACCAGGGCCAAAGAGGAAGATGATGTGAAGAGGTCCAAGGAGGCTAATACTTCTGGGCAAGGGGGGCTTGGAGAAGAAGACAGGGAGGCCCTAAGCTTTGGATCTCTCTATTCCTTCATTCCCAACCTGATCTCCAAACTTGGCCGGCAGCAGCCTTGGAGCAGGAAGCTCACACCCCCACCTTCCAGGCTCACAAGAGGGAACTCAGCAGTGGATCTGCAGTCCTGGCTCTGGAAAGATCCCAATGTCACCAGGAAAGCCATGGCCCATGGGGGAACACTGAGGAAGGTGCCAGGGACTGGGGGAGGTGTCTCTTGGGATCAGCTGGCCCTGGAGAATAGGGAAAGGGAGAGGATTCATCTGGAAAAGAATTTGGGAGCTGAAACATTGCTGGTCCCTTCTTTGGGAGGCACCTCTGTCCACAACTGGATTCTCAGCCAGGGGTGAAGTCTGCCCCTCTCCTATTTCAGACCAAGTTCAACCCTATGCAGGCCCACTCCCCCAAAGGTTTCAGTCCTTTAGATCTGGGAGTGGACACAGGAGATGATGGGCAAAGTCTTCCCTTATTCAGGACACTGCCCAGGCCTGGACCTCTTCTGCTCAGGGGGGTCCTAGCACGTTTGAAAAACCACCCTCCCCACAAGCAGCTGACCATCATGCCTGGGGCAGGAGCCTGGGGCAGGACACACAGGCAGGACAGACAGAGTAGGAGAAGAGTCCACAAGAGTCCAACTGCAACCTATTCTTTGGCGACACCAAGGAGGTAGGATGTGCCTGTGTGTCCCCATAATGCTTTCTGGTGGGTTATTCCTCAAAGGGGGACTGGAATGGGTGTCCGAGCTTGTGGGAGGGCCTGGCTAATTCAGAAGGAGCAGGGAACCTGCTGCATGCTTACTGCAGAGGCTGGGGTGGGGGTGGCAATCCAGTGCCACCTGGGAGGTCATCAGGAAGGACAACAAGCTGCCACTGGCAGGGTCCCTGGGGCTATGAGTCAAAGACTGTAATGAGGGGCCGATAATGGGGGGAGGGAGGGGAAGAAGGAGCTAGGTTTCCACAGCCAGGCCCTTTCAGCCCTCTGGAGATCCCTGGGTACCCCACACACAAGAGAACGGAGGACCTGAGTGTAGCGGGAGGCACCACAGGGGTCCTGGGTACAGGGCAAAGAGGAGGGCCTAAGGATTTTGGAAAAAGGAGTTGGAAAAGTGGGAGAGAAGGACAAAGATGCGTCACAGAAGTCAGAGCAAGCAACCGCGGGGCAGCTGGTGCCCTGGCAGAGAAGCTGTGGCCGAGAAGTGAGGCATCTCGTCAGGACGAGGGTAGTCACCTGGTGTCCATTCCCCACCTGGACCTCCCAACTCCTCAGTCCTCTTCTCCCCAGAACCTTTCACTTCCCCTGGCTAGGGTCCTGGAGTTTCGCTCAAGTCCAAGGGCCCCTTCCGCTAGCTCCAGCGCCCGCAGAACACCGCAGCATCCCCCTCCCGTTTGTCGCCGGGGTCCCCGGGGCTCACCTGGGGGCGGGGACCGGCCTTGCCCACCGCCCCGAGCAGCAGGAGCGCCAGGCGCAGCAGGCTGGGGGCGCCGGCCATGGCGGGGCGCTCAGGACTGGGCCATAGCTGCCACCTGCGGAACCGCGCGCGGCGACGGATCCCTGCCGGGCTGCGGGGGAGGAGTCCGATGTGGGGCCGCCCCGCCTGCCCGCGGGAGGGACCGGGCGGGGTCCCCGCCGTCTTCCGCCCGGGTCTCTGGGGGCCGGGGTCCAGACGGGCCGCCAATGTCCCGGGCCAAGAGGTGCCCGACGCTGCGCTCCCCGCAGGCGCCACTCGGGTTTAGGAACCGCAGGAGCGGAGCCACCAGCTCTGAGCGCCCCGCGGTGTGTGCGCCTGGCCAGCTCGCTGCGACCAGTGGGGCCCGCCTCCCACCCCCGCACCCCGATCTCCTCCAGGCTCCCCCTCAACTATGGAAAGCCACGCCCCCCAAGTCAGTGGTTCCGAAAGAAAACTGAGGTCGAGGAAGGTGTAGCACTGGTACAAGGTCACAGTGTTTACCAGACTTCTCCTGGAAAGTGTATCCCATAGGCTGCTAGTGCCTAGGGAAGAAAGATCCACCTAGCGGGGCTACCTATTTCCCCAGTCCCCTCCTTATCCCAAGCCCAGCCTTCTGGGCAGGCCTGACAATCAAGGTTGTAGGGATTGGGACAGGAGATCCAAGGTGGTCCTCAGGTTCCCTTCTATCTGGAAACTTTAGAAATTGCAGGCTGGAGAAGTTGAGGCTGAAGGTCTGTCTTTCTAGAACTTTCCCAATGTTCCCTGCCCAGCCGTTGCAGCCTCTGGGCCTGCCTACTTACCATCCATCCCCACTGTGTAGGTGTGGTCATGGGCGTCCTGACTGCATTCCTTGCGCAGGTCACTCTGTCTTCTGCTTTGTGGAGACTCCTGTCTGTCTTTTCTCCACCTTTGCCCTTGCACACAGTACAGGCAGGGGGAGATCACCTCACTGCGTGTTCTTCCAGTCAGTAAGTGGGACAGGCAGGCAGACAGGGTACAGCTAACCCTCTTGAGGAAACAAAAACAGCAAGAGGTCGCCCCTCCCCAAGAACTAGTATAAGGACAGTTGCGTGTGGCTCGACCCAGCCCTGGACCTGCCTGGGGCTAGTCTGGATCATTCTAGAAAGGAAGGGAGAATTGTGAGCATAGCTGTACCTCTTGGAGAACACAGAACTCCTCCAAGTCTGGAGTCAAGCGGGACTCCACATCCAGGACTAAGATAGCCAAGAGGAGGAGCCTGCAGGCTCCATTCAGAGATGAGATAGATAGATAGATAGATAGATAGATAGATAGATAGATAGATAGATAGATAGATAGATGATAGATAGAGACACACAGAGAGAGACACACAGAGACAGAGAGAGACAGAGACAGAGAGACAGAGAGATGAGATGGGAGATGGGAGAGGGAGAAGGAGGACTCCCTTCTGGCAAGCGCTGCCTCTGACTCCTGAGTCCCTTGTTCTTACCCCACCCAGAGGTCAACCAGGTTCCCACATAGACTTAGGATGTTTAGCTGTCAGTAAAGAAAATTCCACCCCCAAAATGATGTAACTGTGGCTTTTATGGAAAACAAGGCTGGATGTTCAGCCCAGGTTGGAGTGAGTGGCCATTCTCTGACTATCAGGATCTCGAGATCTTTTAGGTTCTCTGGTTCCAGGCATCTATCTAAACCATACAAAGTGGCTTGCTCTAGACCCAGTCAAAAGTCCAGTCCACAGGAAAGGGCCAGCTGATTACCCACAGCATGCCAACCATCAATTCTCCACCCATTGATCAGAATGTATTCCCGTAGTCACCCCTAGTTCCAAGAGGGGCTGGAAAAAGTATCTTTTATTTCAGACCGTCATGGGCACAGTTTGTAACAAGA